AGATTAAATAAAATCATATATATACAGTGGCGGATGTTTGATACCCAGTAAATGTTAGTTCGGATTTTATCAATAAGAGTAATGAAAGAAAAAAGTAATTTGTAATTCCAGAGGTAATGTTCTTATTACTAGGTCAGTTAACAGATGATTTAAATGGCAATTGGGGAAGTTTTATATGATACCTTTTATGACTGAGACAGGTTTAGTTGTGAGAGCCGTATCTAATTCATTGATCCATGCCGCTTTTCTTGCTGGGTCTTCTTTTCTGAGACAGTTGTCTTGCTGTTTGTTCTTGTGTGACCGACCTTGAAAATGGACTTTTCCATTTTGCACCTTCTCTCCTTTTCCACATTTTTTTCCACGTACCCAGATTCCGTACATGATGGCCTGTGGCTCTATCACATGGCCCCTTTAACTGCGTTATCTGGCTTCCCTTTCAGTAGGTTTTATCCATCAGGGTTCATGAATGCTTCCCATAAAAATGAACACCTTCTCTTGATTTATCTCTGTCCAGTAATCACACCTCTCTCCCTTTAGAGAGAACACGAGAGTTATTTGTATTTCCGGTCTCCAATTTCCCTTTTATTCTCCCTTGGCACAGTTATGCTTGGCAGGAACAACTTTTCTCCAAGGTCTTTAGTGACTTCCACATTACTAAATAAGGTGGTTACTAGGAACGTCATAGATGGAGAAAAGATTGAAGTTGTTGACAGTTAGATGTTGGCGTGCATCCAGCATCAGCAATTTGGGTACCAGCAGTAAGAAATAAAAACAGAAGTTGTTGTTGTGTGCCGTCAAGTCGCTTGTGACTCATAGTGACCCTATGTACAAGGGCCCTAAACCCTGCTCTATATCCTGTGCAAACCTCATTGTCTCTGACGCACTTACTCCCACCACCTCAATCACTGAATCAATCCATCTCATCTAGGGCCTTCCTCCCCTGCACTGTCCCTCCACTCTCCCAAGCATGATGTCCCTCTCCAAGGACTGGTTCCTCCTTGCAGCATGTCCAAAGTATGTAAAAAAAAACACAACAAAACAGAAGTAGCATTGGGAAAATCTGCTCTCAAGGACCTCTCCAGAGTACTAAAGAGCAGTAATGTAAGTCTAAAGACTGAAGTGCTCCTGATCTAAGCCATGTCTTCTTAATTGCATTCTGTACATCTGAATGTTCGACAGTGATTGGAGATGATGAAAGAATTGATGCCTTGAGTTGCGGTGTTTTAGAAGAGTACTGAGTATCTCATACTGCTAAGAGAACAAACATATCTGTCCTGGAGAATGTGAAAGTAGGTTGCTCTGCCGAGGCAAGGATGATGAAACTCCATCTCACATACTGTGGGCATATTGCTAGGAGAAGCCAGTTCTTGATAAGGACTTCATGCTTGGAAAGGTGGGGGGTCCATGTAAAAGAGGAAGAAGGCCTTCAGCAAGATGAATTGATGCAGTGTCTGTAACATCGGGCTCAAGTGTGTCAGAGATGATGAGGATGGCACAGGATAGGGCAGGGTTCAGATCCATTGTTCATAGGGTCTTTATCAGTAGTCAAGGTGATGGCTGGTAAAAATATGGTGATTTGTTCTTATTTCTCATCTTAACTGATCCAGTAGCAGCATATGACACATTGGAGATTCTCCATCAAGTACTTATCTTATTCAGTCTGCATTTCAGGACATTTTAATGTACTATTTTTTGGCTTTTGCTGTATACATTTAACTTCTCTTTTCTGGTTTTTCTTCATATCCTCACAAATTTTGGAGTTCCCAAGATTTAATTGTTGGCTATTTTGTCTGCTGATTTTCTCTCTCTTGATGACAAAACTTGATGATTCAAAATACTATGTCTGCTGGTGACTGTAGATTTTCATGTCAGACACCAACTCTTCCTTTTATGAAGGGCTTTCTGTTTAATTGCTTAGAGGACACCTAAACAATTTAGAAAACTAGATGCTACCTCCTGTGAGTTATATGCATTTAAATGAAGAGAAATTTCCTAATAAAAAGTGAAGATAGGAAATTATTTGTGATTATAGTTAGTATTTATGATTTGTGAATTGGGATCTTCCATGACAATTTCTTATTAGTTCATTTTACTGTTTACTTGGAGGTCAGGGTTCATTAATTTAGGCTGTAGAGTCACATACTTTGTTCTTTTTTTACTTTTTTCTCCATTTGGGCTTCCTTTCATTTACATAGTACCAGCTCCATCAGAATCACAGCTATTAGTACTGAAGTATTAGGAGTTTATGCAGTAAACATGTCATCATTAAATCTGGAATATGCTTTAATAAATATTTTTTATATCTTAAATAATAGTTAGTATATGTAATATATACTGTTTTCTTTTTTTTCTCACTTGAGCAGCTGGTGGATTAGAACTGCTGCCTTTGAGTTGGTAACACATTTCCTTAGCCACCAGGCCACCAGAATGGCCTGTGGATATATATTTATTCCCACAGAAATTTAAGTAAGAAGAATTAGGGAAAAAACCCAGAATTTACAGTGCCTAGAACCTCAATTAGAGAAAAATTTATTTTCAGGAAGTTAGAATATTCTCTTTGACTTATATACAACTGTTAAGGTTAATTGAAAAATTTCTTGGTTACATTTTTAATAAATTATAAAGTAGACAAAAAGGCCACGGGGGATAAAACACTATAGAAGTGAAGAAATTGCAACAAGGAAGAGTTAAATGGTTTTGTGGAAAACGATGTGAGTAATTTTATGTTGTTGTCACCTTAAGTGTTTATTAAATATTTGATAAGGAGTCCATGAAAACTTGACTGATTTGCCTTTTCAGAGACTAAGAATATTATACACAAAGATCCTTGATGTTCTTCAGCAAATCCCTAAAAATGCAGCGTACAGAAAGTATACCGAGGAGATTACACATGCAAAGCTGAGCATGGTTAAAGCGGTAAGTAGCTAACTTGGACTCTAACTTGTAGTTCTTTTGTATATATTACTCTCTGCAATGCTTAACAAAAATTCTGTTGTTTAGTTTTGCATATTCTACCCTCTCTCTGTCTTATTTTCATTCTCCTCCTTTCCATATGTCTATCCTTCTTCCCTTTCATTAGGTCAGTTCTTGTTCATTGAGTGCCTACTCTCTGCAAGGAAGCTCTGGTGGCCCAGTGGGTAGTGAGGTGCACTTCCAGCTCAAAGGCAAGCAATTCAAATCCACCACTCGCTCTGCCACAGAAAGATGGGCAGTCTTCTCCCATGTACTAGACAGCCTCTGAAAATCCACTGGAGGGTCAGCTCTGAGTCCATGTTGATTCAAAATGTTGTGCATAAAAGCTAGAAATAATTTACATACATGTGGAAGAGGTTCTAGTATTTATTTCTTTTTATAACTGGTGCTAGCTATAATTGGAAAGATCCCTGGCTGTGTAGTATTTTAAGTGTTGGGCTGCTAATGAAAAGTTTATTGGTTTAAATCCATCATTAAAATACCTGGAAGAGAAGTATTAAGTGTTATCAAAAGAACAAAGGAATCTAATATTAAAAACTTACTGTTTGTGAACACTCCTTCCTTGAGAGCGGTGCATCCAGACTCAAAATGCGTTTCCTTTGAGTCGACTCTGACTCATAGTTGAGCTTCAAGCTGGTTTTCAGAGGATGTACATTGCACAGGAGGAGATTGTGTGTCTTTCTTCAGTGGAACAGCTGATGAATTTGAACTATCTGGACTGACAGCTAATAAAAGAGAAAGTTGGAAGGTGTACAAAGAGCAAGGGCCACATGGAGACAGCCATATCTGACCTTGTCCAACTTCACAAAGGGGAGCTATCCCCATCAACAACACAAAACCAATTCCCATGCCATCAGAAATGTCCCCCACGCTCTCACACCTCTTTGTGCTCGTCCCAGCACTGATCTTACTGCTTTACTGGGTCTAAAATCTCACAGATCACACAGCACCATATTAGGAAAGTCAAAAAGGCTATTATTCAGGCTAGTAACAGAATCATTCACTCAAGCCAACTTTCTGAAATGTGTTCATGGGCACCCCGCCTTAGCCTCACAGCTTTAGGCTCTTGTTGTTTGTTGTTGAGTTGGAACCAACTTATAATTGACCCTCCAGCTCGTTTTCAGAGGCAATAAATTGCACAGGAGGAGATAGCCTATTTTCTCTTGTAGAGCAGCTAGGAGATTCAAACTTAATGCCTTTGGGATTGCAGTGCAGCTTCTTACCACGAGGCCACCAGAGCGCTTTAGTAACAGGGTAATTTTTTTGTGAAGGATAAACAAAATTTTTGTCTCATATATTTCGGGCTTTTTATCAGAAGGGTTCAGTCCTTGAAAATGACATCATGCTAGGAAAGGTAGGAAATCGGTGAAAAAGGAAATCCATCAGTTAGATGGATTAACCCAGGGCCTGCAACAGTGGGCTTGACCATGGCAGAGATTTTGAGGATGGCACAGGATAGGGCAAGTTCCAGTCTGTTGTTCATGGTCACTGTCAAAGTCAACTAGATGTCACCTAACAACAACAACTGTATTAAAATGTCAGTGACATTGAGCATTATTGTATTAAAAATTGTCTTAATATTAAGATAAAAAATAGAAAAAGATGAAATACTTAGGTGAGCTGAGATGGATCGATTCAGTGATTAGGAAGTAGGTGTGTCAGACAGCTTGGCACAGGATAGAGCAGCATTTAGGGCTCTTGTACATAGGGTTGCTATGAGTTGCAAGTGACTCGACGGCACATAACAACAACAAATAATATTGATAAAATAAAATTGTTTAAATGCTGCTTTTTAATTAAATTTTTAAAAATAATGAAATTTCAAACATGAATAAATGCTCCTTTATTTAATTTTTTAAAAAATTTTTTCCTAAAATTATAGGAACCAGATGTTAAAAAATTAGAACAACAGCTTCAAGGGGGACAAATTGAAGAAGTCATTTTTCAGGTAAAAAAAAATGTTGACTGTATTGATGTTGGTTGCAAATGTTCTTTTTAATATAAAATTCTAAGAATACAAACTCATTGCCTTCAAGTCGGAGCTGACTCATAGCTGACCCTCCGGCAGGTTTCCTGAGGAGGTAAACCCCACAGGAAGAGATTACCCATGTTCCTCCAGTAGAGCTGCTAGTGGATCCAAACGGGCCACTCTTTGGCTGGCAGCACATTTTACGGACCATACCACCATGTTGTTATGTTACATCAAGTTGGAACTGACTCGTAGCTAACCCTCCAGTTTGTTTTCAGAGGTAGTAAATCACACAGGAGGAGACTGCCCATCATTCTCCCACGGAGCGCTCATGTATTCAAACCACCTGGCTTTGGGTTGGAAGCACAACTCCTCACCACTAAGCCACCAGAGTGCCACCAGAGAGGCATAAAATTGACATTCCAGAAAGAAGAGAAAATGAACTCTGTTTTTCAGCTCATCAAATATGAACTAATCACACAAGGAAAATTCAACACTTCCAACATGCTGGAAGTTTGAAATTTGATAATCTCTTTTCACTTAATCGCCGTGCTCTTTTTAGCTTTAGCTCAGATTAAATTCATAATCTGATGTTACCTTTACTTTAGTAGTTTCATCTCTATAGATATGACAGTTTAAACTTAGTATATTTGTAATACAGAAAATTACAGGTGCTTTGGAACTTAAAATTTACATTTATTTTTTGTGGAAATTTTCAGCCAATTTAATGTTTACTGGGAAAATAAACAATTTTAATAGCAGAGTAAATTTGAGAGCTGAATTTTTTTATTATTTCCCAAGTCCTAGCACCGGTCAGTAAGGCTGGTAGATGATAAAGTTTGAGCATTAGTATGAAAAGAACATTGGAGAAAATTATGAATATTCTGGATTTCATTCTAAATTACATTTAGAGTAAAACTGCAAATAGAGTAGTGGGAAATTGTTTTCCTTTCCTTCGTGGTATTGCCATTGTATAACAAGAAGAAAAAGGATATAAAATCTGATTTTAATGTTTCTTAATTTATAGTTTTATCTTTTCTTTTGGTCCTGGATAGGCTCTGGAAAGCAGTAGGTTAGAAAAATACAGCCTTGAATGTTCAGCCATTGGTCCTCGTTATCATCTGCAGTATTCTTCTGGTGAATGTGGCTAGAAATCTTCATGGCAAGAGACTGCCCCTCTTTCTCTCTGGGCTTGGCTGGTTGACTTGAACCACCCACATTTGTTTTAAGCAGTCGTATACATTACAAACTATGCTGCCAGAGTTCTTCTGTTTGTACTGTTGTTATTTATATGCCGTCAAGTTGGAACTGAGCCATAGCTGACACTTAGTGAGTTTTTAGAGGTGGTGGATCTCCTGGGTCGCCATACCCATTCATTCTGTATGCTGAACTAATCATTTGGGAAGCCATACTCTGAAGAATCTTATATCCGGATCTGAGGAAGGACCCATCAATAACCTGTGTTGTGACATAAGCTTGCTTATTGAAAGTGAGGAGGATTTGAAGTGCTTGCTGAAGAAGATCAATGGATTGCACTCTTCAAAAGATACAGGTTTCAAATGGATTGCTACTCAACATTAAGAAAACAAAAATTCCTCGTCACTGGACTGATATGTAACATCATTATAGATGGAGAAAAGATTGAAATTGTCAATGATTTCTTCTTGGATCCATAGTTAACACCCTTGGTACCAGCAGTCACGTCAGAGAAAGTCTGCAGTCAGGGGATCTCCCCAATAACTGAACAGCAATGATGCCAGTTTGAAGATTAAGGCACATCTGATTCAAGCTATGGTCTTATCAACCATTTGATATGTTTTGAAAGCTGCATAGTGAATAAGGTTGACAAGAGGATGATTGATGCCTTTGAGCTGTGGTGTTGGAGTGAAGACTGAACACTCCATGAACTCCCAAAAGTGCTGAATATGTCTTAGAGAAAATGCAGCTGGCTGCTTCTTGGAGGCAGAGATGACAAAGCTTCATTTCACAAACTTTGGGCAAGTTGTTGGTAGAAGCTATATCTTGGAGAAGTGGAGGGAAGACCTGAAATGAGGTGGATAGACAAAGTGACTGCAGCAGTGGGCGCAGGTATGTCAGGAAAGATGCAGATGGCACAGGACAGGGGCAGGGTTCAGGTGTGTTCATCGGGCTGCTATGACTTGTGCTTGACTTGATGGCATCCAACAACAACAGATGGGGTCGGAGGAGATTGCCCATCTTTCTGCTGCAGAGCAGCTGGTGGATTCAGACTGTATGCTTTTGGGTTGGCATTGCAGCTCTTTACCGGTAGGCCACCAGAACAGAATTTATTAATGGTTTAAAGTAGTTGTGATTAAAATCTTTCTTTGTCTAGGTTTTGATGTACTATAAGATTGCACTAGATTTGTAGTGACCCAAAGTACATGATAAAATTGGATGTCTGGATAGATTTTTGCCCTCTGAATCATTTCTTTCTTGTCTGCTTTACATGGTGTATGACCTGCATACACAGCAGAGCAGAATGGCTTTTGCTCGGTGGAAAATGGCTGCAGCCTAGAAATAACTGAGTCAAGTATTTAACGACTTGTAAAAATGTTTTAACAACATACAGAAGAATTAAAAAAACTTGTAAAAGCCTTTTGCAATATTAATAAAAAGCTCCTTCAGGTTCTTGCATTATTTCAGCTGGAGGATAAACATTTTAAAGTACTCTAATTACAACAGATTTCAATCCTAGAAAGTAGAAGTGACCTCTTCTTTCATACTCATAATAAGGTGTGTCTGTGAGAATTAAGATTTTATTTCACTTCAGCTCTTATTAGTGAAATCGCTCATGAGATATGTATTAAGCAGTAGCTCTAATAGTTGGCTCTGCACATGTGATTGTTGTACTGTCAAATCAGAACCGACCCACAGCTGACCTTCCAGTGGATTTTCAGACAGTAACTTGCCTGGGAGGGTATTGCCCATCTTCCTCCCAGGGAGCAGCTGGTGGATTTGAACCTTAGGCCTTTAGGTTAGCTGTACAACTCTTTACCCACTAGGCCACCAGAGCTCCTTTTGTACATACTAGTTAGGATAATATCTGGAATAGCATTATAATCCTTAATATTTTCTTTTTAACATACAGGCTGAAAGTGAATTAAGTTTGGCAAGAAAAATGATACAGTGGAAACCGTGGGAGCCATTGGTGGAGGAGCCTCCTGCCAATCAGTGGAAATGGCCGATATAACCACCGTTAAATGTGACTCTGGGGTGTTGATTGGAAACGGATGCAATTAAATGTTCTGCTATATTAAAATGTTTCCGTATTTTTGATATCTTAAAAGTCAAAATTAATAGAACATATTTAGGGGACTTTTTAAAATTAGTGATTATTTCACAGTTTGATAATAGGAACATGTGAATCAATTTTTAGATTATAAAGCATTCATTCACATTATATTAAAAAAAGAGATTGCACAGTGCAACAATGGATAAATGAAAACCCAGAATCTCTGTAAATGTTCATTAAAACTAATAAAATTTAATAA